AGTTTTGTATTTTTAGTAGACACAGGGTTTTACCATGTTGGCCAGGCTGGTCTTGAACTCCTGACCTCCAGTAATCCACCAGCCTTGGCTCCCAAAGTGCTGGGATTACAGGCGTGAGCCGCTGCATCTGGCCATTCCTCACATTTTTAATCAACCCCTCCCTGCCAAATACTTTTCTGATGGTATTTGAGAAAAACATCAGATTTTTAAAAATGTTCCAGTTCCCACAGGATTACTAAGGAGTTAACTGTGCTAGGCCCCAAAACACGAGGGGCCCACCTTCCCGGAGTTACCACGGAGGACGCACGGCACGCCCCACACCCGGCACCCACAGCAGGTTGGCCCCATGGATTTTTATAGCAGGGTCACCGTGTTGTGGGGTCAGCCACTCACCTCTGGGCCCGGGGTCTCCCAGCTCCCCAGTGGGACCACGGTATCCGGGGGGTCCTCGAGCGCCAGGGTGACCAATGGAGCCCGGAGGCCCTGGGGGCCCAGGGGGGCCAGCTGGACCGGGCCGGCCAATGGATCCCGGTGCCAAAGGCTTCCTTAGGTGAGCGGCTAACTGTGCAATTTGTTCTTTGGGAAAACAAGGGTACAGGCGTTTGAGAGAGGGTCATGAAAAGTACCGTTAGGGAAAGAACAGAAGACCCACAGGGCTGCCCTCCAGAAGGAAGATTTCCTTCTCATTGATGGAAAATGGTTTCACTGCTTTGGGGTGATAAGTGCCAGAGCTAGAAAGGACCCCCCCCAGCCATTTAGACCCTGAGAAGCCTGAGTGAGAAGGCGAAGCAGGTGGGGGTGTTTGGGGACCTGCCCTGCCAGCCACAGTGGCACACTCAGCTGGTCCTTGTACCCCATGCAGTCAGCAGACTTCAGGACACCTGTTGCATGTCAGGCATCTGGTTGAATCCAGGGCCGGTGAGTGGGCCACCCTCTAGTGCAGAGGACGGACAGACACCAAGGCAGAGCAGACCCCCGAGTGCCAATAGGCGGGGATGGGCGGCGCCGGCTGACTTACCACTGATCATCCCCCCACACAGCTCCCTGATGCGCTGCTCGCTGGCCTCCTTCCCCTGGAAGTCACCCCACACATTCGTCAGCATGGGGACGGCAGCTTCTGCCAAACATTCCCACCATCACCCCACAAAGTCACTTTGTTTAGAAAAAAACACTATCTCAATCCTGTGAGAGCCAGAAAAGCAACGTACCGGAACGCCCGGCTTTCCTGTGATGCCAGGAACACCCTGGATGCCCTGGAGGCCCAGAGGACCAGGGGGGCCAGGGACACCCTCAACACCGCTGGTACCATTGGGACCCTGGATGCCTTTGGGGCCCAGTTCCCCTCGACTGCCAGACTGCAGAGAAACAGGAGGAAGGTGCGTCAGGGCAAGCCCAGGAGCCCAGAGCCGCCCCTGCGTGCTTTCCTGGCCAGCACAGAGCCATCTTGCCCAGCCTTGACCAGAGCAAGCATTTTTACCATCTCAGATCTGGGCAGTGCCCTGCAGGGCTGCCCGTTGCCCATCGGTGGGCAGGAAGTCAGCAGGCACCCTCGGATTGCATCATCGGAGCAGCCGCCCAGCACTCACCTCTCCTTTGGGTCCAACCAGGCCGCTAGGACCCTGTGAAGAGGAAAGTGTGTTTTAACTAAGTGTGTATTGTTGGGTGGGTGGGAGGTAGACAGCTGAAGATAAAATGACGCATCATCCACACACCTGTCAGACAACATCAAAGTATAGACGGTGGCCCCTTCTGTTCCCCTGCCTACATTTTTACACTGCTGTGATTGTACTGATTCTTTTTAAAAACTTACTTTCAGCTAGGCGCAGTGGCTCACGCCTGTAATCCCAGCACTTTGGGAGGCTGAGGCGGGCGGATCGTGAAGTCAGGAGTTCAAGACCAGCCTGACCAATATGGTGAAACCCTGTCTCTACTAAAAATACAAAAATTAGCCAGGCGTGTTGGCAGGCACCTGTAATTCCAGTTACTTGGGTGGGATGGGGGGGGCGCTGAGGCAGGAAAATCGCTTGAACCCGGGAGGCGGAGGTTGCAGCGAACCGAGATCACGCCCCTGCACTCGAGCCTGGGTGACAGAGTGAGGCCCCGTCTAAATTAAAATTAACACCACAACTTACTTTGGGGAAGAGTGACCCTGGGAGCTGCCCAGTGCTGTGTCTTACACACACGGACTTGGTTTCTCTTCCTCTTACTAGCATGCCTAATGCTGACCTCAGCCTCTCGGTCCTAAAACCCTGGGCCCTCCAGCTGGGTCCTCAGGAATGACAAGCCCCAGGTGTGTCAACACACAGTCTGCTGGGTTCGAATGTCTCCTCCAAACACATGGGGCAGTTGAACTGCAGTTGAACGCTATTGAGAGGTGGAGCCTTAAGAGGTGCTGAGGTCTTGAGAGCTCTGCCCTCCCGAGCAGCTTCACCCGCGGGCGCCTGGGTCCCAGCGACTCGGGAGGCTGGGGCAGGAGAATCACTTGTACCCGGGAGGCGGAGGTTGCAGTCAGCCGAGATTGTGCCACTCTGCACTCCAGCCTGGGCAACAAAGCAAGACTGTCTCAAAAAAAAAATGTTCACTAAATGAAACACAACTGAGGTCATTCACAAACAACTGAGGTCATTTCTCCAGAGGCATAAATGTTGACACTGAGCTGTGGGGGGTCTGCCAGAGCCTGGGTCCCTGGGGCTGCAGTGTTTCTGTTTCACCCAGACACAAAGGAAAGACTTCATCATAGATTAAAACCCTGGCCTGGGGAAAGCCAGAAGGGTCTTCCTTCTCTGGAACTGGAGACTGCTCCATCTGTTACGTCTGGAAGGAGAAACGTATCTATGAAGACACTCAAACAGGAATTTCATTTTATGCTTCACCTGAGTTTTAGGCCCGTGGAAATGGAGTTTTCTTTAGTTAAAAACAGCTGTGTGCCAGGTGCAGTGGTTCATGCCTGTAATCCCAGCACTTTGGGAGGCCAAGGTGGGCGGATCACCTGAAGTCAGGAGTTTGAGACCAGCCTGGCCAACATGGTGAAACTCTGTCTCTACTAGAAATAGAAAAATTAGCTGGGTGTGGTGGCAGGTGCTTGAAATCCCAGCTACTCTGGAGGCTGAGGCAGGAGAATCGCTTGAATCTAGGAGGCGGAGGTTGTGGTGAGCCAAGATCGTGCCACTGCACTCCAGCCTGGGCGACAGATCAAGACTCCGTCTCAAAAAAAATAAAATAAAAATAAACCAAAAACCCAGCTGTGACTACTTCATGCAAAGAACCCACAGATGGGGTGCCCTCTGCAGGTGGTGCCCTCTGCAGGGGGTGCCCTCTGCAGGGGCGGAGCACTTCTGGGCACCAGGTCAGGCCAGACTCCAGAGCCGCCTCCAGCCTCTGCCAAACCCTGCTGTATCCAAGCCGCCCAGCAGAGCTGATCTTCCACTGGGAGCTGCAGATTTTGACCTTGTCCTCAGAACGGCTTCCCAGCTGCTGGTGACAGTAAGGTCACCTCATCACACTCACCTGTTCTCCTTTATCCCCAGGAAGACCGTCGGAACCTGCAATGCCCTGAAAACAATACACCCCCAAGTTAAAAGAGCAGTTCATGCCTTCAGCTCCTGGCTCTCAAGCCTTGTGGGTGTAACGTCTGTCCTGAGGCTGAGGCCAAGAGCCTTTTATCAGGCCCCACGTCTTTTATCCAGCCACGAAGGCAGCCCAGCCAGGACCCTGCCTTGGGAGACCTGTAGGCGGGGGTGAGGCCACCAAGCGGAAGACATTTGTTTGCATAACGAGGCTTTTCTGCCAAGCAGAAACTGGGGTAGGGGTTGATTGCTGCAGGCCCTCCAGTCGTGGGGAAAGGCCTCATGCCCAGAAGTCAGGGCAGGCACTGCAGGAGGGCAGGGCAGCCATGACCACGGCCCCACCCACCCTGATGCTTCTCTGGAGAGAAAAGTGCTTTGAGGAACAGAAATGCATTTCGAATCCGCCTGCGAAGCCCCTGCCCTCTGTCAGCTCTCCAGGATGGCAGGAAACACCTCCTCCCCCTGAGGGTTCCCACTGGTGCCGCCTGGACCAGAAGCAGCTTCTGTTGCACCCAGAGCCATGCAGGGACAACGTGGCTGGCCAGCTGTTTGCACCCAGGAAGGCAGCAGGGGACGCTGGGGCATGCCTGCGGGTTGGGTGCCCAGAGTTGCTGTCGCTGTGCTAAGCAGGAATGACAGGAGCCAGAAAGGGTGACCGATGGACACAGCAGGAGGAGAAAGGAGGGTCAGCGTCTGGAACACACAGCCAGGGCTGGAGCCGGGACGGGCGGAGCCGGGAGAAGCTGTGCAGCTTTGCGGTCATTCCTTCTGACCCGGCCTGTGCCCAGCTCACCTGGTCTCCCTTAGGTCCTGCAGCACCTCCAGGACCCTGGGGGTGGAGAGAAGGCGCTGGATTAGAGGAATTACAGGAATCCCTAAAGTGAGCCTGTCCTGGGCCCAGGAATGGTAAACACCACCTCCGTCCTCATCATCCTGCACAAAGGGCTTCTGTGAAACCCGGGGTCCCAACACAGGCCCAGGGGCCCCACTCCTGTTCACAGCCCTATGGCTCTGAGTCCCCTCCTGTGGGTATTTCTGCACAGTCCCAGGATAATTCCATCACAGTGGAGTCAAAGATGCAAAAGCTAATCTAACCACCTTCGCACGGGATTGTGAAACTGAAGACGTGCCTGGGCGCTGCTATGAATCCCGTAAAAAACGTCTGTTTGCTCTCAGGTCTGCATAAGTGAGAACTTGCCCAAGGAGCAGAAGAGTGTGAGGCTTTCTGGTGAGTTTAGAGCAAAAGGGAAATGCAGCCAGCAGGCCCCGCCTACACTTGGGACAGGCACAGTGCCCGCAGGGTGGGTGCCAGCCCCGAGATCTCTCGGAGGCCCTGAGGTTGCTGGCATGGACCCCACCCCTGGAATGTCCTGCCTGGCGCTAACAAACAGCCTGCTCTCCCCCACGGAGCCGTGGTGTCTGCGGCCCCGCCACTGCCCTGGAATGAAGGGCACCTGCAGCCATGTCACGTGTCTGAAAAGGGTTTCTGTCTGCCCAGCAGGGGCAGCCACGGCAGGCACACGAGGTCCCCAGGGATCTGGTGGAGCATGGCTGGGACCAGACCAGACCCACAGGCTCCTCCCCTTGAGCAGGGGCCCTGGGCAGGCCATGCCCCCTTCTGCACTGACCCGCAAGGAGCCACCGCTGCAGCTGCTGCAAGACCAGCAGGAAAAAGCCTTGATGAGACAGAAGCTGCGACTGTTACAGTCACTTGGGACACTGGTGTTCAAACCGATTTTGTAGCAGCGTGACCCTCTGGCAGTGGCGCCTCCGCAGACACTGCTACGCAGGAGCAGGCGTGGTTCTTGGAGCCTCAGCCTCCCCCCATCCTGAGGAATGAGCGCCGACCACGTGCAGGCCCCCGCCAGGCCTCTATGCAGGGCAGGAGGCAGAGCCCCACAGCCGCTGCCCACAGGAACACCACATGGAAGGTCAGAGGGGCCAAAGGCGCCACATTCAGGGCCCTGATACCACTGCCTCCGCCGTGCAGGGGGACACCGCCCATGGCCAGATGTCCCACAGGGAGCTGTGAGCGTCCCTCCCTGTCTGCATCCCAAGGGACCATGGTAGGGGGTGGGGGTGGGGCACAGGGGTGATTGCTGCTGAGGGCCACTTACCCGGTCGCCCATGTCACCCCGGAGGCCCTGGGGGCCTGGAAGGCCAGGGTCTCCCATGCTGCCCTTCCGGCCCTGCAGAAGGAGGTCCCGGCTTGTCAGTGCCCGTACCCAATGCAACTGGCCCATCTGGGTCACCCCCATGCCAGGCCCTCTCCCCAACGTCACGTACCTGGAAGCCTCGGACACCAGGGGCTCCGGGAGGGCCTTGTGGGCCAAGGGCCCCCTGAAAGACAAAGGTGAGGTGAGTAGATGTCTCAGGGTTGGAGGAATCCCAGGGAGCCTGGTTCAGCCTCCCCTCCCGGGTGGATGCAGGAGCCAGTTCTAAGCCACCTGGCTGGGTTGCTGGGGGACAAAGGCAGGGCTACCTCCCAGGGACAGTTTAGGGGATCTCAGAGCTCAGGCATGCCCTGGACCCAACTTGTCAGGCCAGACTCAGAGCCAGGCACCCATGCCCATGGTCCCCTCAGGACCTGCGGCTGGCGCTGTCATTATCTCAGTGTCCGGAGGCACAAGGCTGGGCTTAGCACAGAGGGCCCAAAAACAGGGCAGCTCTGGCCCGGCCCTGACTGTCTCCCAGCAGGCAAGGGACAGGAAGGCGAGGCCCCACCCCTCCCAGCTTCCTCGGCTTTTGTGGGCCAGGCCCATCGAGGCAACCAAATGCCACCCCAGCGTGCTCAGAAACTGGGGCCACCTGCTGATGGTTCCGTGCCAACCCCCCACCCAGGGCCACGTCCCTATACTCACCGCTGAGCCCCTGTGGCCAGCCTCGCCGCGTTCCCCGGGCATGCCAGCATCTCCCTACAGGGAGGGGAAGGAGGGTGTGAGGGCAGGGTCCTCGCATATGCGGGATGGTGTGAGGTCAGGGGCGCTGCAGATACTCACAGGGACACCAGGCTCTCCGGAGGGGCCAGCCTCACCCAGCTCCCCAGCTCTGCCCTGCAGAGGAAGGAGAGCTGTGAGAGCCTGCCCACACCTCTGGCATCAGGGCCCCCACCTCCCCTCCCAGGGAGAAGGCGGCTGCATCACGTACCCGTTCTCCCTTCTCGCCTTTGGAGCCTGTTCGTCCGGGGAGGCCCTGCCAGGAGAGTGCGTGGGGTCAGGGCTGCCTGTCACAGCAGCGTGCACACGGGCAGGTGCTCGTGGCCAGACAGTGAGCGCACCCAAAGGGCAGGCCGACTGCTCCCAGCCCCGTCGACCTTAGGTGCGGCTTTCACAGCCTCCGCGGCCTCGGACGCAGGAGCCCCTGCTCGGGGCCCACGGGGGTGATGACCCCACGGCACTCGAAGACGGCCATGAACACATTCGCACATGTGCAAACACACGGGCAACCATCCGCAGCGCCCAACGGGCACCAGGGGTTGTGCCAGGCCCTGACGGACACAGGCTCCAACGGACACAGGCCCCAGAACCTCTCACAGGAAGCTGGCCCTACAGTGACCCCCCACCCAGCCCCACAGGGGCCACTGGGCAGACAGAAGTTGTGGCGCCCCAGGCCGGCCCACCCGCTGGGCACTCACTGGCAACCCGTTGGGGCCCTTCTCTCCCGGAGCACCGCTGCGACCAGCCTCTCCCTGCAAGGACAGAGATTGGGGCAGAGAAGGGGAGGCTGAGACCTCGGGAGGCTGAACTCCCTTCTAACCCCTTCCCTCCCTCCCATCACACACTGAGCCCCATGCCAACCTTCTGGCCATCAAGTCCTGGCACGCCATTCCGGCCGTCCTTGCCTGGCATGCCCTGGGGACAAGGGACAAGTAAGGCCCATTGGGCAGTGGGCCACCCCTCCCTCTACAGTCCTGTCCTGGGGGCAGCCTCCTCCTCCATCAGCCTAAAACTGTGGCTGCCCCCAGGCCCTGGCAGTTGGCTGGTTTCATGACCGAGGTGGCCATACCGGTGAGGGGTACAGCAAAGGCTGAGGCCTCATCTACCAGGCGCGCCATGGCACCCTAAGGGAGCCTTGGTTCTGGCCCATTTTGCAGGTGGGAAAACTGAGGTTTGGGAGCTGGGACTCAGGCCAGGCCTGCCTTGTCCACTCTGGACTGGCTTTGGAATCAGAACACAGCCAAGTGCTGGGTGTCCCAAGAGAGGGCACAGCTCCAGGGGCAGAGGCAACACGAGGGGCTGGAGGAGGGTGGGCACAGAGCAGGAAGGAAGGTGCCTACACAGGTACCCAGGACCCCAGGAGTGCCCCCCTCTCCCCAGCCTGCACAGGTGCCCGGGACCCCGGGAGTGCCCCCCTCT